GTGATTTCGGTTGTATCATGATAAATAGAATTCATTATATCTTGTATTTTTAGTATTAGCGAAGCCCAACTTTTTTGGTTTTCATGAGCATACGCTCTTAAAAAACGTCCCAGCTCTCTATGCATACGCTCTACTGTGTTACTTTGCGGATGACGTATGATAGAGAATATCAAATTGATGTTCCTATATGCCAGCTTTACTCTCCAACTTTTCGATGTGAATTGAGTACCATGGTCGCAAATGATGGATTTTGGCTTTCCATATTTGGGCACATAGTCTTTAAAAATCTTTTTAATGGTTGTGTGCCCAAATATGGAAAGCCAAAATTCATCATTTGCGACCATGGTACTCAATTCACTTCGAAAAGTTGGAGAATAAAGCTGGCATATATGAATCGGACTGGACCGTTACATTACCTTAATTTGATTCATTTCTAATGTTGTTATATGTGGTTTTACCTGCTTTGTTCAGAGTCGTTACAGATGTTATTGAATTACTGCATGATATTCTTGACCTCAGGCTAGTTACTTGTTTACGTACAGTGGCACGCTCTTTTATGTCAAAATATCTTTGGAAGGTGGTCTGTATTTGACAGTCTGTCGTTTCAATATATTTATTTATTTTGGATTAAAATATTTATCATGATTCACTATCATTTTTCCAGTGATTCGCATCATATTTTTGTTGTAGTTTGTGTTGTGATAAGTATAATTTGGACATTTATTAATGTCACTCATGCACTTATCAGTTATGTGATTGCCTGCGTATTTTGTACATGTGGGAGCTGTTGTTACTTGTTGCCGCTGTGATTAAATCTTGCGCATTTGAAACATGGATACGTGTTTATTACGTCTGAGACTCTGCAGTTTTGACATCCCACAAAAAGCTTGTTTTTTTATCTATGATATACTTGTATAAATGTGATGTTACTTCAAAAACCACGGTAACTATTTTTGTTCTTTCATTTGTGTAGCAATGAATGACTTTTCCTTTTTCTTTATAATTATTAAAATTTCTGACATTTATATCACTCTCAATATCTTTAGAATTTGTTGTAAATACTTTGTTTTGCTTATTATTTTGACAATTGGTTTTTTGATCTGTTCTCTTTCAACGATTATCGTGTTCGATAATTTCTTGCTCAGAGTTTTTTCGATATTGTTTATGTTCTTCTCATTCGTGGAGTTGATCATTATTGTATTATTAATTTCTTAGTCTGTAAAGTTTTGTCTTTAATTAAATAGTGAGTAACTGTGTTTTCTAAATGTGTGTTATCATTACTATTGTTTTTCTTTATTATTAATCTTGGTACTCTTTTGTTTTTAGGTTTAGGCATTATAACTATTTCAGTAAAAGTTATGTTTAATAACACTAGCTTTGGATTATCTTTTTTTCATTAACAATTCATTTAGTAGTTAATTTTTTTCTTTGGTTTCATTATATAATTTTTTTAATAAATTATTTTCTGTCTTTAGTGCTTGTATCACGTCAAATTTTTCATAGGATGATGTTTCCATATCTTGCCCATTTTCATTTATTTTTTCATGAACGATTTCATTCAGTATCTCATTTTTTATTTACTCTCTTGTTTCTAGTTTAATTAATGTTATAAATTCTTTGGCTTCTTGGCTCAACCCACCGTAAGGCAGCTTTGAGGTTAGGGCAACGTTCGGGTATTCTTGACATATCATGAATGAGTTATTTGTAATTTTATTTTTTTATAAACTATAACGGGCTTATTACCTTTTATTTAGAGAGGCGGAGGCCGTTATAACGTCGGAACACTTGTCGGCTCCGACTTTACACCCGCTCTGCCGCACGGCTAGGTATCGTTCAGGGAGCGGGGATCGAAAGAATAACGCGAAGGGTATCGGGTAGAACTTCTCGTATATTATCACCAAGCAGAACAAAGGAGAATCACCGAGGTCGAGTCGCAAACGCTAGCGCGGACGAACGAACGAGGAGAGCCGCAATTACTCTCGCGAACAATCTCACGCGCACTCACACTCACTTCCCACTCTCGGTGCACGCCCCGTCGTGTGCCTCGACGAAGTTGCAGACACGACGGGCAACGGTGTACACAAAGGGGGATACTCACGGCGCTCCGTCTAGTCGCAATCACGTATGCACTAGCTGCAGCTTCTGGGCAGTCGGTGCTGGTGTCCGCCTGCTGTGATGATCCTTCGACGAGAGGGTAGATCGGGCTGTTGCTGGCAGAGATCGACTAGATAACGAGTCGGCGAAGAGCGTAGTCACAGGCGAAGAAACACGTGTTACACGAGCGCAGGAGCGGATCGGCAGGTTATGTACGGAGGTGTTGTCGCTAAGGCAGACGACTTGGTAGTGGAGCCAGTTGGCGGCTCCCACTCTTGCGGTGGGTAATGTCGGTTCGTTACCGACTGATGGGGCCTTACGCATCCCGTTACAAAACATAAAATAGATGAATTTTCTATAGAAATAACAAAAAAAATAGGCAACGGGATTTGAACCCGTGATGCAAAATCCGTAGGCAGAGAGGCTGTTAAATTGCCTTAACCACCGTGCTTATACGAGTACGATAGGCAGTGGTTGAAAGTATCTGATAAAGTCGTATGCTTACCCTGCTAAAAAAGTTCCATTCATTCCTATTCGGGATCATTCATATTCAATGGTAATCAATGAACTGAATGGTTCAATGTTCCGATGACGATTGAAACTGAATGATTTTCAATAATACTTCATGGTAAGCATAACTAATAGTAAAACTTACCATTAAATTTAATAGAATTCAATCTTTCTGAATAATACTTTGTATAGGAATGGTTTCAATGATAATCTATCCAATTGCATTGAATGAATATCAATCACAGTTCAATAAAATAATTAATCAATGATATTTTATTGTATATCTTTCTATGAATTTTAATAATTTTTCGATACAATAATTGTCCAATCATATTTTATTGAATCATATTATATGGATATTAATTTTTATCCAATTACACGGTTGGTCAATAATATTTTATAGAATGGTTTTCCATATATGCCAATATGAGCAAAAGCAATACTGTAACTTTAGCAATATTTCATTTAATAGTTTTTTTTTTAATCTTAATGATTGGTCAATATAAAAATAACCCAATCGCATTCAATGAGGTATAGTATTCTATAATTTCTTATGAAAGGCAAACAAAAAAATTTCAAATATTTTCAATTGAATATTTTTTAATGAAATCTAATGATTGGTAAATGCAAGTAAAACTCAATCGTATTCTATTGAGAAGTTGTTTGTATAGTTTTGAATAATCCTTCATTCTTTAAACTTATCAAATATAATTTTATTCTATAATTTTTCATTAGATGATGAAAGAAAAAATTTCCATAATTGAATGATTTTTTATAAATTTGAATAGTTGTTCGATACTATAATTGAAGAATCGTATCTTATGCTTTGGATATTATAATTTTATATAGGTCATGAATGAAAAAACTCCGTATATGATTTGATTGAATAGACTTTTATCAATTTTAATAGTTTTTAAGTAAAAACATATTCGAATATAATTTTTAATGGTTATTCGATTTTTTTTCAATTGTAAATAAATGGATTGATGTGATCTTCACATTAAAAACTATTCAAAATTATTCAACGTCAGAAAAAAAGTTGATCATGCGATAAAAGACCATTAATACCCATTCAATTAGATTGATATTTTCTATTGCATATTATTGAAATGTTAGGACTTTCATATTCAAAAATATTGAAAATTATTCAACGATACGAGACTTGAATGTTGCAATAACAAACCATTGATATCAATTCAATCAAATTGATTATCGCATTCGAATGGTTTCAAATCTTCGATTTGACCACGAATTTTACCATTGAAATCGATTGGGTAACATACATGAGAAATTTCATTGAATCCTATTGAAAACCATTACTTTAATAGTATATTTTTCTATTGATAATGATTAATCTCGATTAGGAATCAATAGTAATCTATATTATTGGAACCAATAGTATTTAATATCTTGACATTTCTTGTTGGATGAGGAATCATATTCAATGGTCATTTGGAGTGTTCAGATCGAAGATTGAAAACCATTCAGAAATTCTTCAATGGTTTTCAATGGAACTTTTATAGCAGGGTAGGAGCTTAAGATACAAACTTGTGGATGAGCTTGCGTTATAATGTTTAAATAAATTGAACTATTAACGGATACTATTACATAAAAGTAACATCGTTATTACAATTACGATATGAAAATTTATATCGAAGATTGTGAAGTTATGATCACATAGTATCAATCTTCCATACATTATTGTTTATAAATAAGTTATCAATAATTTATTCAGAAAAATATGAAAATAATGGAATTATAAATCATATAATTACAATCAATTATCGAAAAAAATAAAATATAGCGATGGGATTTGAACTCACGACGCAAAATCTGTAAGCCGAAAAGCTACTGCCTCGGCTACCGTGCTTGTACGTTAGAATATGATTAGAAGTATCTGATAAACTTGTGAGCTTGGGGGCTTGAGTTTAAGTAATTAGATTTTCTTGTCCTGCTTAAGTTATTCGGTGCTTAGGTTTAACAAATTGGTGTAACAATTTGTACTAATGCACACAATATAATAACAGAATAAACAAAAACAACTTTTTATCCACGCAAAATCCAATAAGTATTTCTATTTAATATAGCAGGTACATTAATGGATTCGATATAATACTGAATCATCATCGAATTTGAATGATAGAATCAAGAAACATGAAAAACCTGTAAAAAATTCTCGAAATTTGCAAGAGAAACAAGCGTGAGGAGCAACGCGCCTGCTCACTGACACACATACACGAGTCTGAGAGTTTGTTATAGGTGTGGTCCAGGAGTAATATTTTCCTGTGGCGCCGATCTCGTGGCCGTGACTGGCGGCTCTTCAAAATCGGTACACAAAATCCGTGGTGGGTAACCCACCTTTCTATCTTACACCGTGCTCTATATTATGTAAAGACTATAGATGGAGGTTTCGTCGTATTTGATACACTATTTTTAGACTGTTCTTTCCAGGTGTGATATTTATTTTATGGATACCTAATACAATTTTACAATCTTTGAGCTTTCAAATAATTCCAAATCGTAAGCTGAAATTAAGTACTCTGATACAAATTATTTAATTGCTTATTTTAATTAAGTTAGTTTTTCTGTTCGAAAATTAAAAAGATGGCAGTTCAGTGGATACGCCATATTATTGTAAGTACAAATTTTATGGAAATGAAATGTATTTGCAAATAGGTGCTCTACTTCAACCTCTATATTTTTCACTGAAAGAGTTATAGAACTTGGCATGAATTTGCATTTCTTTTCTTCACTCACTTTTTCCAAATTATCTTGTTCATTTCATATATAGAATCTGAAATTGTTAAAGCATACCCACAGAAAATTCAATTGATTCATTTGATACAGTAACTAAAGACTTACATCAATTTTATAATTGATTTATACATAACTTTATTTTTATTTTTATAAATAGAGGTCATCGAATGCACCGAATGTGGGTCTAGTACGATTCTACAGCAGCACACTTCATAAATGCACTCTCATTCCTGGGGATGGCATTGGTCCTGAAATATCTGCAGCCGTACAAAAAATCTTTGAAGCTGCTAAGGTAATTTGTTATACTTTAACATACATTGTAAGAGTTTCTTTTCTACTGTCTTGGTTTCGTATGGAATCTGTTTATCAATTCAAGGGTCTAGAAAAATATATGCTGAGCGATAGTTTTATGTGTGAATTTCATTATTTTTTTCAGGCCTTAATGGCCATAACTTATATTACTAGATTCATTCTGTTAAAGTATGTACAAAAATGTTAATGGAAACAAAGTGAGGGTTATGTACAAAGGCAAATTTTGACACTTTCCTGTCACAAGGTCATCAATTATGAACTATACTCAAACTTTTATGGTCAAATTAAATTTTTAAATATAATTTGAATTACAAGTTTATAACTACATTTTTGTATTGTATATGATTAACAATTTGTCGATAGGTACCTATCGAATGGGAATCTGTGGATGTTACGCCAGTTAGAGGACCAGATGGAAAATTTGGCATTCCTCAAGCTGCAATTGATTCTATTAACAAGAATAAAATTGGATTGAAAGGACCTCTTATGACACCAATAGGAAAAGGACATAGATCATTGAATCTTGCATTAAGAAAGTAAGGTTAATTTTTGGAAGAACATTTTTAGAAATCCAAGTGACATTTGAAATTGCTTGGAATTAGTATTTTTTAAGATAATCACGTTTATTTACTAAGGAATTTTAAGGCATTAAAATATTTTTTCATATTTAAGGAATTAAAATTTTTGTTATAAAAATATTTTTTCACTAATTGATTGATATTGAAAATAATGGCTACATTAATTTATAACTTTTAGAGAATTTAATCTTTATGCTAATGTCCGTCCATGTCGGTCATTAGAAGGGTACAAAACTTTATATGACAATGTTGATGTTGTGACAATAAGAGAAAATACTGAGGGAGAGTATTCAGGTATTGAACATGAAATAGTAGAAGGAGTTGTACAATCCATCAAACTTATTACAGAAGAAGCATCAAGAAGAGTAGCAGAATTTGCTTTTCAATATGCTCAAGATAATAACAGGAAAAAGGTAAAGTTATTAGATTAAAAAGTTCACATATCTTAAAAAGCAGATGTTGGACAATACTTAATTTGGTATTTGTTTTGATATTTTATTTTGGAAGACTTTTGGAATATTATATTTTAGGAACTCTGGTATGTTAATTGTATATTTATGATATACACACTCAATAATTAGTAATAAAATTAGAAAAATGAATGATATTAAAGGTCAGCCCAACCCATCAATCAGCCCTTAAACACTGAACCCTTTTTCGAAGTTAAAAAAAGATACAGTATTTGATTCAATTGTTGGCCTGCAATATTGTTGATTTCTTCTAAATTTTATGAATTTATATTCAATAAAATCATTAAATTAAGTATTGAACTCTTACAACCTCCATAATGAAATAATATTTTAGATTTATATATTTGTACATTATATATATATATATATATATATGGGTGATTCCAGCAGTTTTTTAAAATTGGCTGCGCAGGGGGGTCAGCCGATCTTCTCGGCGATTTTTTCTATGATAGAGTATGTCAAAAGAAGCCTTTTGGCTATCTCAGATTTTCGTTAAAATATATATATGTCCATATATATTTTTTCAAAGTCTGAAAATCTGCCTGTTTTTGGCTATTTTTGAAAAATCGTAGCTCCGCGAGTTTTCAATATTCTTCAACGTGCGACATCTCATTTGATTCGTCTACTTTTATACTTTCAAGAAAAAAATTGTTCATTTATAAAAAGTGACAGCTACCGGGTGTACTCTGACGATATTCGTACGCTTTTTAGGGTCAATTTGATGCTCATATTCCGAGTACTGTAACTTGGTCAATTTTCAATATTTTTGAACCAACCGCGTGTCATTTTTTTTATTTTTTTAAGACCTGTAATTTGAGACCCGGCGCATCTCAATGGACGCATTAAGACTAGAGATATAGCCGTTTGAAAATGACCATTTTTTTAAAATATCGAAATCGCCAGTTTTTGAAATCGTTTTATTTGAAAATGAAAAAGGGTCATATCGTGAAAATTCTAGAGCATGTTCTACTCGATTTGAGCTAACTAAAACCGCCTCAAAGTAGAAAAAAAATTGAATGCGTTTTTTTTTTTTCGCCTTTCAATATGTTTTGAAAAAACGGCCAAATTTATCGGCTATATCTCTGGTTCTAATGCATCGATTGAGATGCGCTGGATCTTAAATAGACAAAAAAAAATGACACGCGGTTGGTTCAAAAATATTAAAAATTGACCAAGTTACAGTACTCGGAATATGAGCATCAAATTGACCCTAAAAAGCGTACGAATATCGTCAGAGTACACCCGATAGCTGTCACTTTTTATAAATGAACAATTTTTTTCTTGAAAGTATAAAAGTAGACGAATCAAATGAGATGTCGCACGTTGAAGAATATTGAAAACTCGCGGGGCTACGATTTTTCAAAAATAGCCAAAAACAGGCAGATTTTCAGACTTTGAAAAAATATATATGGACATATATATATTTTAACGAAAATCTGAGATAGCCAAAAGGCTTCTTTTGACATACTCTATCATAGAAAAAATCGCCGAGAAGATCGGCTGACCCCCCTGCGCAGCCAATTTTAAAAAACTGCTGGAATCACCCATATATAATACTTTTACAAGTTTAATTTATTAAAATTTGGTAAAAAATATTTAATATTATATGTTTGTTGTAAAAGAAGGCATCTTCTATTAGAAAATAGTTAGTATTTGCTCATTACCGACTGCTGAAACCCCAAAATTCTTCGTACCTCACGTTATAACGTACATTTTCAACTACAATTCGTGTGTACGTGTGCGTGTGTGTATGTGCGTGTGTGTGTCCGCGCGCGTGTGTGTGTCTGTAAAAAGACATATTTTTACGATATTTTTTATAACATAAAAATAAATAAATAATAAATCATTTTTAATAATATAGACTTGTAAGAGCTTAAGAAGTATAGATATGAAAGTATATAAAATGTATGGATTCATTTGAAATGTAATAAACTGAGATATCCCTGTTGAAGACGTAATAACCCAATATGGTAGCTATTAGGTTGTTGATAGAATATTAAAATATTCTATGAAAACATAAATTTCGATAATATAACATTAATACTTTATAATATTTTATGTAAAAATAATAGTGTTGTCAATTACCTGCAACTAACTTAGTCTTAGATGAAAGATGCAAGGTGGCGTTGCGCTATTAATAAAAGCAGCGTATTATGCACGCAGAGGTTAGTGATGAGAATTCGATAAGGCTACAAAAAATTTCATTTTCATGAAGTCGTATCACATCTCGTACGAATCCCATTCCTATACGTATACGACAAAAGAGATTTTACGAGATGCTACGATAACGATTGACTAGCGTAATAAAGGGCAGGATGCTCTGTATCTCGAGACTGTTGAAAATATGACACTCATCAAATTTTAGTCGCTTTAAACAATTTTAAGAATCATTATTAAAACTAAAAAAATTTTTATCATAGCTCACAATGCTATATTTTATATAAGAATATTTATTCGACAAGATGTCATTCATAACATATTGCGGGAGTTTGATAGAATTGTAGAGTTTTCTGACACATTAGCAGTGTTCATTAAGAAACTCAAAAATTGAAAAGATCATAAGTAATTCAACTTAAAAGGTTCAGCCACAAGTTTTATAGAATTCAATGATTTACAGGATATTCACAATGCACTCAGTGATTCCAGTTTTAATGAAATTTTGTTAACGTGTTAATGTATAAACACTTCTTACATAAGCGAAAAAATCTTATATTTCATGCTGTAATGGAATACTTGACCAAAATTAGATTAATTTCAATTGCAATTTTGGACCTATAAGGTAACATTCGCAACCGTCCGCCTTCAATTTAGCTGCAATTGAGGTATGTTATACTTTATAAAAAAAATAAGAAACACGTATTTTTTTTGTCGGTGAAAAAAGCCGTCTAGGAGATCAAAACCACCCTCAAAAGTCACCCCTGAAAACAGTTAAACAGCAGTAACTATGGTTGTAATAAATCTTTTTTGATGAAACAAAATGGAAAAAATTTCTTAAAAAACAATAAAACCGCATAGTTTTGGACTCGGAGGGTTGCAACCCCTACGATGTACAGGGGAAAAACTACATTTTTGAGTGGATTTTTCGTGTACAGAATCACAAATTTATCATAAAAAAATTAAAAAATTAGTTTGCCTCATTCACCGCAATCAAATCGAATTTTAATCTTGGTTTGCGACGTTAACGGTAATCAAACCGAATTTTAATGTTTGTTCACCACGTTAACCGCAGTGATATGCGGCACGTATATATATAAATACGGCAACTTAAGATTAATCAATTGCTTTCTATGTGGTCCAAACTTCAAAACATGTTTTGTTAACTCAAAACACACACACACACACACACACACACACATCGTATTTATGTCAACATATTTCAGTCGGATAGTAATGCAATTTTGTTAACATTGTATAATTTTTTTGAATATCAATATTGTGTAATAATGGCAATCGAAATTCACAATGTCATGCAAAGTTTATTAAAAACATTCCATATAACTGAAATAGTGGAAAATATATCAAAATTGAACGACGTAGAGAAACAGCTACACGATTATATCGAAGATTTATTGAAAAAAAGTATTAAAGGTAATTATTAAGGCGTTGAGTATGAAACAAGTGACAATTTATGTTTCCTAGATGATGATTTTGATATCAATCCAGAAGTGATTGACGATGGTTCTAAGGAAATACATACTGAAGATTATGTTGAGGTGCCTAATTGTATTATAACTAATACAACAGTTGATGATGGATACAAAAAGAAAGCTGTTGAGAACTAGGACAATGAAAAAAAAAAAGAAGTTGTCTTTAAGTTCCGTTCAAAGTAAGTATAAATTAGTCATGTCAGAACAACAGTTGAGAATATCGAAACAGCAAATTTCCGCAGGCGGAACTAGAAGAGATAATTTGCTTAAAATTTCAGAGTATACTCTACAAAAAATTAAAGATGTTTTAAACCGGAAGTTAACAGTTCATGATTTAGATCTTAAAAGATGGGCTTTAGAAAAGAAGCATGAATTGAATGTGCCTTGGTTTAAAGCATCACCAAGGTGTATATTGTTATTTAAAAGAAAACAAAATTGTATCACGTAAAATAACGAAACACGTAACAAAGGTATCTATTCATAATGAGCCTAATCTACATCTGAACTGTCAAAATTTTGTTAATGAAGTGAAATCTGAACTATCTAGAAAAAGAGCAAGTAATGTATAAGAGGTGTGTTCAAAAAGTAGGGTGACTTTGTATTTTTAAGAAAAAATATTTATTTATTTATCAATATTTATGTTGTCCCCTTCAAAGTAATCCTCCTGAGATACAATATACTTATGCCAACGGTTTTTCCAATCCTCAAAGCACTTCTCATAAGCACTTTTCGGTATAGCCTTGAGCTCTTCCAGCGATGCAGTCTTTATCTCTACAATCGTTGCAAATCTCCGTCCTTTCATAGGTCTCTTTAGTTTTGGGATCAAGAAAAAGTCACATGGGGCCAAATCCGGTGAATATGGTGGCTGAGGCATGATTGCGGTGTTGTTTTTGGCCAAAAAATCTCTCACAAGCAAAGTTGAGTGAGCAGGGGCATTATCGTGATGCAAAAGCCATGAATTATTTTTCCACAATTCTGGGCGTTTTCGTCGTATTGCTTCTCGCAAACGGCGCATAACTTCAAGATAATACTGTTTATTGACCGTACGTCCATATGGTAAGAACTTCTGATGCACCACGCCATGGTAATCGAAGAAAACAGTGAGCAAAACTTTGACATTTGATCGAACTTAGCGTGCTTTTTTCGGTCTTGGCTCATCTGGGCTCTTCCATTGGGACGATTGGACTTTGGTTTCGATATCATAACCATATACCCATGACTCGTCACCAGTTATGACCCTTTTGAGTAAATCTGGGTCGTCGTTGACGTCATTCAACAGTTCTTGAGCGATGCTCA